CCCTGTGTGCACACAGTTAATAAAATTCCCTTTGTTCTTTGCATGAGAGACCGACTCTTGGGGTCTTCCTTCGCGGCGACTCGACCCTTACACTAGGACTATACTTTGGGTCTTGCCCTGGGTGTGTTCAATTATAATATAACTAAAACCCTTCAGAATAGCTCATAAAGCTAGGCATGTAGTCTCAGAACTTAGCACTCAGGAAACTGAGGAAGGAGGATTCCATAAGTTGGATCCAGCATGGACTACATAGTGAGTTCAAGGCCAGCCTAAACCACATAGCAAAATCCCATCTCAAAAAACACAAGCACTTCAGGACTGGTATTCAACATGATAGCAACTATACAGGACATTTATTTTCCCTATCTCTGTCTTTGTCTCTATCTCTATTTTTCTTTCTTCTTTTTGAGACAGAGTCTTGCTATGTAGTTCAGGCTGGTCTTGAACTTGAAATGATTACACACTTTGAACATTTTCATATAGTTCCAAAGCTATGAAAAATAAACACCAAAATATATATAAGGTAAAAAAAGGACTAAATCATTATTTTCTTCTTTAGCCTCCATATTTCCTATGATGAGTGTACTTTACTTCTATAAACAAGAGGAAAGAAGAAATTTGTTTCAACTGAATATAACAACAGGGATTATTTAACACCAGTGTAGGCCTCCTTACACTAGTCTCTATTTATATATTTATTTTTTTGCAGAACCGGGGATTGAACTCAGGCCCTTGCACTTGCCAGGCAAGCGCTTATCCTACTGAGCTCTCTCCCCGGCCTTACTCTAGCCTCTAGGTAGTATCAAGTTCTATTTTAATATTATACACAAGCATCTTTAAGCATGTTCTTGCTTTGAGTGGCATGGATTGATGAATCAAATGCTTATGCTGCAGGGCATAAGAATTACCCATGTTTAAGTACAGGGTACTATCTTAAGTGGAAAACTCTAGAGAATCTTTCCACTAAATTCATTAGTGTTCAGAGTATAGAGTGAACTCTGCATTTGCATGTCTCTACCACTGCAGCCCTAGCCAAAACCTAACATCTACTGCACCATCACCACCACCATCCTTACTACATGGCCTCCTATGGGACTGTCCCCTCCAACTTTGGTCTAAAGTTGCTCTGGTAACAAGCTCATCAGGTATGATCTCTGGCCTAGCTTCTGAGAGCCACAGGACAGGGGCTATGAGTTTCTATCCCAAAATATTTCTCCTCACTGTGCACGATTACCTGGGCTGAGTGGAGTGCTGGCACTAGTAGGTGCGTGGCTTACTTTGGGTGTTTTGCATAAGGTTTCTTTAAAAGAGCCATCTGGTTCATATGAGATACTAGACAGATCTTGAATGTCTGTCAATGATCTAAGGAATTAAAAATACACAGTAATTATGAGAAGTTTAGAAAAACTGAGTAATAACTTCCTGAAAGGAACTTTTTAACTATACTTTTCAAAAATCTTTCTGGAAATATGTCAAAATTAGAGTACATCTTACAATATTGTAATGAGAATATTAAAAAAAATCTTAAAAGGAGATACTAAATGTATATATGTCCTAACAGCTAAAAGGAAACCATTTCTATAGATTAAAGGATTTTTATGTAGAAAATAATTATTATTACTGTGGTTTCTTGATTATAACATCATCAATTAATAGCTTTTTGGTGAAAGAAGAAACAGTTCCATTAAGCCTATACACAAATTGGTAAGAATATAAATTCTTTTTTTTTTTTTTGCGGA